GATGGCTGAAATATTAAATAATCTGTATTTGCTGCAGAAGGAAACAGAGCAACATCTATACTCAGCCTATGCTGATTTCTATAGTTCTTCTACCAGAAAACTGAAATCTAGGGTTTAAGCTATATTAAAAATAAATTTCCAGACCTGTAGTTTTCTAGTTGCTTATTTTTCTATGGGAGAATGAAGAAATGTGAATGAAGTGTTTTATACCTGAAAATTACTTCAAACACTATGTCTAAGGTAAGAGCATCAGTCTAAGATTGGCTGAAGATTGACAGGAGAAACGTGACTGGTTTTTGAGCTCTTCTGATCCAGGTGTTCATGGACAGGCACCTCTGTCCTACCCCTCTAGCTACCTGTTTCTGAGCCACACACCATCTAAATGTTCACTAATACTCCAGAAATGCTGAGGGTTATTTTATCTTTCCATTAGAGGTCAGGTAGGTCTGTTGACAGCACACACAGTACACAGTACAGAGACAGACATACAGAGCCTTTACACACACCCAATAAATATCCTGCAGGCTCATTGCTACACAGTTAGACTCACTATTGCATATAACTCAGTTTGATTTCTTTCCAGCATTTCTTCATGGTTGGGAAAAGGAAAGTAACCTTATATATGACCAGGTTAATGGCACTATCTGAGGAAGTGATTTGAAATGTTCGTGATTTTGAACTTCACCAAATTACTGTCTCCATAAGGCACTAGTTATAGTACCATCTGCTGCACCACATTGCATTAACATGCTTAGAGCTAAATCCTCCTTGCCTTAGCCTCACAAGTAATCCCATTGACATCAATTTGTTCCTAAGTCTTCTAATAACTACAGGGAGTTGTAGTACTTTGCAGGATCACCTTCAGGGATCACAAGACAGGCAACGGCACTCTCTGCAGATAACTTACTCTATTAAATAACATGGCAAGCTGAACTGCATTTTGACCTCTGCTTCATGCCTGGTGATTTTTGTCTTTTAGGGCTCACATATTCTGTATGAATTTGTAAATTTTTTCACTTAAACCATGGAGACTTCAATGACCCCCTGAAACAGTTGAACAGTGTAGCAAATAAGGGCAGAAAAACTAAACACTTCAACAGAAAATCAACTTTAATTGTTGCTTACTCTTCCCATCTATGCCTACAGCAAATGCTGTGGCTAGTGCAACTTCTTTCTGTGAGTGGTTGGATTTTGGATTTTACTGTACAAGTGTTTTTTCATAACTTGTTTTAAAGACTTGCATCATTACCATTCTGTAAAACTGAGGAAAGTTGTCTGTCTTTCAAAAAACAAATTTTCCTTAACTTATAAAAAGTATCAGCAGGTTCTGAGGATTTGGAAGAACTAAAAGGAAGTTACTGTTTTCTCTTGAGAGTTGTTGAGATATTTTCTTTAGAGCAGTGCTTTAAGGTCACTTATTCTTAAACTAGCAGTAATTTGAAGGGATTATCTTTTGGCAGGGGGGAGGGGGTGTCAGCAAATCCTGGGCTTCTTTAGTCCTTTTCTATCTCAGTTAATTACAGACAGAAAGGGGTAGTAGAGGATTCACGTCTTCCAAAGTCAAAGCATGTTTCCACAGTGGCCTCCTCATAACAACCCAGCAGGAGATAAGTGTTCCCGAGGCTCAACTGTATTGTACTGAGAGCATGTAAAATATTTATTTAGGAATTTTGTCTTGCCCTATTTCCTATCATTGTTCATCTCCCTCTGCTGTTCCCATTTTAGTTGGTAAGATCAATCTTCTGCTCTTTGTCTGTCTCTGTGTGTGTATTGAGAAAAACAGAAGAGAGTAGTGATGCTGTTTTTACAGGCTCATAAAACAAAGGCTTTAAACCAGATGGAAAAGATAGTTCAGGCTTTTTTCTATGTTCTGAGTTTTGGGGCTTGAAGGAAGGTGATGCTTGAGAGAAAACTATTTATGTATGCAAATATACACATTTTGGGTTTTTTAAGGGATCTGAAGGCTTTGGCAAGAACTCCTGCT